ACGATCAGCTAACATTATATCTATTCAATAGGCCATGTTCAAGTACTTGGGAGTTTGATCTTTGTTTTATCAATGGACGTTCTTGATTTTGACAAGTATTTATAGATTTAAAAATCTAACATATAAACTTTGTTGATGATTTATTAAATGACCACATTGAATAGAAATCGACAAGAGAAGTTTATCCAGGCTCGTGGATTTGTGTGAATAAGGTAACGAAAAAGTATTTAATATTCTTGGAGTAGCCACATATTCCTGGTTCAGGATTAAGCATCATACATTATGTCATTTCATGTTCTTTAATTATTTGATACAAAATTATAAACTCTATATTTTTTACCAATCACAAACTTTTTTAAAAAAAGATTAATAATTTTTTTGGATAAATCTAGAAACATTCATAATTTTTTTTAAAAAAAAGATTAATTATATTTTTAGTCGAACAAAAATATAAAATGTAATAACTCCTAGTAGAAAAATAGAGGAAATTACATTAAAAAAAAGAGTAAAGGAAAAGGGAGAAAAAAAGAGAAAGTAAAGTAAAACAAAGCAAAAAAAGAGAGAGTGCATGAGTTCAATGTCTTCATTCCGTCTAAATAATTACAATGATAGGAGGGTTAGTGTAATTTTTTAAATATCAGGGAATGATATGTATTATACCTAAACTTCAGGGGATGTAAGTGTAATTTATCCAAATAAATTTTGAGATGGCAACATGTAACATCCAAATATATTAGCTGGCATGTATTTTTGTAGTTTACTTATGAAAGCTATGGTGAAAATTAGACAGCCACGTGGGATGGAAACTCAACAGAAACCTTAAAACCTTGCAGTACTGGTCCCAAATAATGTGAACGTGAATCAGTACGGCTTTTTTTTTTAAAAAAAAAAGTAAATAAAAAAATCGAATTAATTAGAGATAAAATACAAAACTGAAAGGTAAAACTATTACAATTGACATAACATGTACAAGTTAACTCAAGAAGTAAATCATATGAATTATTATTAGAGTGAAACTATTCCGCTGTGTTTGGTTAGGAGATTTAGGAAGAGATTTGAAAATAGAAAGAGAAAAAGTATATGAAACTATATGAAATATAGGTATATTTTATTCACATTTTACCTACTTTTTTTAATTTTTCTTTTCAAATCTATTATCAAATTTCTCAACCAAACACAATATTAGAGTGATTCTGCTAATGATAGTATTACTATATCACGTCAATTGATAAATAAAATACGATCAGCTACATGTTCAAGTACTTGGGAGTTTGATCTTTGTTTTATCAATGGACGTTCTTGATTTTGACAAGTTTGTAAAGATTTAAAAATCTAACGTATAAACTTTGTTGATGATCTATTAAATGACCACATTGAATAGAAATTGACAAGAGAAGTTAATCCAAGCTCGTGTATTTGGTCAAGTGGTGCGTTGCTGCAATTGGTGAATAAAGTAACGAAAAAGTATTTAATATTTTTGGAGTAGTCACGTATTCATGTTTCAGAATTAATTATCATATATTATGTCATTTAATGTTTTTTAATCATTCGATACAAAATTATACACTATCTTTTTTACTAATTACAACACCTTAAAATATCACATGACCATACTTGAATAACAATTTTATATTGGTGCTTAAGGAGTAACAAAAGTAATAACTATTTATGATTGATTATGATATAATTACCTAATACACAGAAGACACTGAATAATTTTATACTTATAAATTCAAGTCGGTGACAATACTATTCAACAATCACCATGGGCCCAATTGTTAACCATTTTAGTGTCTCTCTAATTAGTAGTTTGACTTTTCATAGAAATAGTAATAAACATTTAAATGTTTTTAATTATTCTTTTAATATCTCTTTGCTCCCACTATGGTTATGCCTTCTTTGTCATCTTCACTTGGGAAGTAGTGATTTATTAGTTGGTTGATTAGAGTTTTATTATGTAGCTACTTCACAGGTTTATGATTTGAAGCATGACTTAGAAGGACTTGGACCCTATTATTGATAAGATCATAGAAAAAGAAAATATTAAAATGAGATTAGTGCTCTTCTACACTAACCCCAGTTCTCCACAGATTGGACATTTTTAAAATAATCTTAGCAATTAATTCGCCCACTTATAATGGAATTGGGGAGGCTGTTTGCTCCATGTAACTCATTCCGGATCTAGTTGTTAATATTATAATGGTTGTCAGCTTATGAACACAATCATGCACACGGGTAATTGTTTTATGACATTAGAAATAAGTTTAAGAATACAAAAATTGATTGTAAAATTAGATATATACAAAAAAAAAAAAATTTAAAAAAAATTAAAAAAAGACTTATTCAATAAATCGTGTAAAATGTATATCGTGTTTATTTTGATGTTTGGTATTTTAGAACTGATATATTATACTTTTGATAATTTGATTCAAATTTTATTTTTGTTTTTATAGTTTAATTTGAAAACATCAAAATCTCATGATTTTATAAAACAAATTGATGATAATTTGAAAGGAATAACAACATTAAAATTAGACTTAAAATATAAACATATCCTCATTTAAATTGAAACGATAGATATGAAAGTAAACTTTACATCAAATTATAAGAAATGAAAATTGTAAATATACCCTTCTCCATTGGGCAAAATCACTTCCAGCATATTAACACCATTTTAAGTTTTGACACAGTTGATTCGATCCACCACCAGTTAAGTCATAACTAACCTGGGCATAATTTGCATAAATCTAGAAACATTTATAAATTTAAAAAAAAAAGATTAATTATATTTTTAGTTCAACAAAATATGAGTCTTGTATTATTTTGATCCGAGTATTTAAAATGTGTCAATTTAGTCTCCCATGCATAAAAATGTTTTAATTTAGTCTCAATTATTTAAATTATATTAATCCGGTTCCTAAAACATAAAAATGTTTCAATTTGATTTCAAATGTTTAAATTGTATTAATTTGATTCCCAATGTATAAAAATCATTTCAATTTAGTCCCCACCAAAATAACACAAGACTCAGACTTTGAGGATAAAAATGTAATTAATCCTTAAAAAAATTACTCCATCCGTCCCAAAATATTAATTCTTTATTCCATTTTTTATTGTCATAAAATATTATTTTCTTTTCAAAAATTAAAGATTAAAATAACATAAATTTCCTATTTTACTATTTTTTTAATGTATTAATATTGATATTTTTGAAATTAATAATCATACTATCAAAAATAGATTTGAATTTTTAAAATTTTTAAAATATAATAATTATATTACAAAAAAAATAGATTTTCAAACAGGATTAATATTTTGAAACTGAGGGAATAGATAAAGGCATGTGCGAAAAAGAAATTCCCATATATGCGCATGTGTTGTTCGTGGCAATATGCCAATTTAGTACAGTCCGAACCACTCTGTATGGCCTATGTAATCTCTGTTTCTTTCACGTCTACGACACACCATGAAAAACGTGACTAACATGGTTCCCCATTATTATCAACTTCTTTCCATTTTTAAGAGCATGTTTGGTAACGTTTTTGTTTTCAATTTATATTTATAAAAATTTTACAAATTAGTTTTTATTTATTTTTTATTTATTTTTAAAAAAACATAAATTACAAATACATTTGGTTTAAACAAAATGTTTAAAAAAATTTAAAAATATAAAAAAGAGTGAGAAATTGCAAGTGGTGGCGGGTGGTGGGTGGTGACAAGTGGTGGCGGCAGAAAACAGTGGTGAAAAATGATGGCGGTTGGTGGTGGCAGAAGACGGTGGTGGGTGATGATGGCAGAAGACGGTAGTGGAAAGTGGTGGCAAGTGGTGGTTGGGTGGGTGGTGGTGGCGGAAGACGGTGGTGGAAAGTGGTCGCAAGTGGCGGGTGGTGGCGGCGGAGGAAGATGGTGGTGGAAAGCGATAACGGGTGAGTTGATGGTGGTGGCAGGTCGGTGGTGGATGGCGG